AAATTTTTATTTTTTTTTTTTAAACCGTTGGGTTTATTTTTTTATTTTCAGTTTTTCGCTTAATATTTAAATTTTTTTTTTGTTATATTAACTACGGCCCTAAAAACCTCTTTCCCCCCCCCCCCCCCGTCCCAGCCCGTTTGCTTCGATATTTGTCAGGAAAACATTTTTTAGATAAAACTTCCGTAGAATAAAATTTTTGATAAACAAAATATTTTCTGTCGAAAATATTCTGACACTAAGAAATATTTTTAGAAATTTTCCCATTGTGGAAAGTTATTTATTTTTAACGGTAGATTCTGCACATCTGTTAATAGAGTCTATATTCATCTAGTATCTCTGAAAACATTACAGTTGTATTCATTTTTAAACAGATCCAGTAAAATCTATCATCCCTTGTTGAGAGCTATTATCTAGATAACTTGGATTTTAATATTCATAAAGTGAAGTGCTTAATAAAATTCTTGAAAAATACATATATTTAAAGAACAAAGGTTTTATTTAGTTGTTTTTTTATCTTGATAATAAGCAATTTGATAGCGTAAAAAGCCGGATATCATCATTATTACATAGATAAAAAATATATGCCGTATGCCATTAATAAAATGTGCATAAGTAAACATCGGATACTGTTTTCAATATCTATTTTTCGCTATAATTACTAAAAAATATTTTACACTATTCCCACTTTTCATCGGCACCATCAATGGGGGGGGCATTGGTTTTTGTTCGTTTATCACTTTCGTTTAAAAAAAAAAAAAAAAAAAAAAAAAGAATCTGTTGTTAGTATATTATTTTCTCCGGAGAATTTTATTGGAATGTATACACACACCAACACTATTTCTCTCTTTTGCTTTAGAAAAATGTGAAAATGATGAGATTTTCTCGTTATTATTTTTTTGTAGTTTTATTTTCATCATTATCTGCATGGTTGAACAAGCACGAAAAATTTATACATTTAATCTACTTTAGTAACTTTTTTTTTTTTTCCAGTAAAATAAGGATAAACTAAGAAGGAAAAAACTACCACATAATTGATAAAAATATCTGTCACTTTCTACATACTGTACTAAAAAACGAAAAACATATATCATTTTATCTGTACAGATATAGACATCATAAAAAACATCTTCTAACCTTCATCGTTCCAATCCAATAAAACTTTTTATTTTCCAGAAAAAGAAAACAGAAGAATAACAACTCATCTTCATTGCAATTAAATTTTTTTTTTTTCAATATTTGTCAACAAATGGACGAGAAAAAAAAAAAAAAAGAAGATAAAACAGTAATTGATCTCGCAGTTTGTTTTTCAATAATAACATCTATAGAATTATCTTATATACTTTAGACTAATATAGATGTTATATAGGTTAATAGACATTCTTTTTGTTTTGGTAAATATGGAGAAATTCATTTTCCTATACGATACAGAAGTGTCTATGTTTTCGAAGATTGATAGATAAAAATAAAAAAAGAGACAAATAACCAACGACACGTTAATTTAGTGATATTTCAATGTATTTAATTGATAACATTTTTTGCCTATGTAATATTGAATGCAAGTGAGAATTTAAATGAAGTTAAACTCTATAATAATAATCTATATTTTGTAAAATTCTAATATATTCTATATTCTAGGACTAGAATATAAAAATCATTAGTAACATGTTATTACTTTTCAGATGATTAACTGTTAAATTAGCGGTAGATTCATCCAGAATATGTGTGATTTAGTCGATACATATTTATATATATATCTATCTATCTATCTATCTATTTGCCTATATGTAATTTTATGAAGAAAAAAGTCTAGTTATTTGTTAATAGAATGCGTCCAAAGGGAAATGAATAAATCAGTCGAATAAAAGTGATTTATTACTACTTATCTTGAACACATGATGAAAAAAAACAAGTTTTTTCTAGGACAATTTCTTTCAAAATTAATTAAAGAGAAAGATTGTTAATCATATGCAGCCAAGATTTAAAATATAAGTAATCATCAATATCGTTAATCATAGAAAGAGAGGTAGATAGGAGATATTATGAAGTAACTATTTCTTTGGAGAAAATTCGAATACTACTCTATTTTGAATTGGAGATCTTCTACTTTCTAATATTTTAATATTTTGTTATTTATTCAGAAAGTATTGGGTAATATTCCTTATATTATTAACAATTAATAGTCAGTTCATAAAATCTAGGTAATAAGTTAATTATTTGGAAAACAAAATGAATTACATCTTAAAATAGATGATAAATAAAATAATATTGAGGAAAATCAGTGCCATTTTTTCATTGTTATATTAAAAAATTCGTAGAGTCAATTCATTTTTCGAATAATAAAATTTGTACTGGAAGAATGAATATTTATGTATATATGTCAACGTCCAAACTAGAATTCCATTCAGTTTAGGGTTGGCCTGGATCAGATAGTCAGATCCGAGATTGGACACGTTCAATCTCGAAATTTGGTAGTACTACACAGAAAATTGCAAATTTTAAGTAAAATTTAGCAGAAATTTTCCTTAAAGTATGTTCTAGATGCTTGATGGTTCGTGCTGATTTGAAACAGTTCTTGGTGACTCGTCAATCAACATGTTCGTTCGCCTGTATGTCAAAGATCGACATTGTACGCAAACTCAGTTCGAGAAGGCGAACACAACAACCAGCGATGATGATGAGTCATCAAGTACTGTTTTCAAATTGGCACGAATCATCAAGCATCTAGAACAAACTTTAAGGAAAATTCCTGCTAAATCTTACTTAAAATTTGCAGTTTTCTATGTAGTACTATCAAATTTCGTGATTGAACGTGTCCAATCTCGAATCTGACTATGGCCTAGGCCAATTCTAGATTGAACAGAATCCGAGTTTGAACGTTGACATATACGTATGTGCAAGATCTGTTTATTTTCACTATAGAAAAAACAATGAGTTCAAACGATTGTTTTTTATCAACAACGGAAATAGATCAAATCGTCAAATAATCATTAGTCAATCATATCTGTTCTATTTTACTTTTTACCGCTTTCTTTTTTTATCATCGTTTGTATAAGAGTAAAAAAATAAAAAAATATGAGTTTATTCATATTTCAGTTATCTCTCAGTTGCTCGAGCGCAAGCATTGTGTTCTTCTATTGTGTGAACGGGAGATAAGAAAGACGAACAATGACAAAAAAATATATTAACGTCTTTTGTAAAATCAGTGACATTTATAATGATGATTAATTTTATTAATGTTCGAGTTTTTTTATTTTTTTTTTTCATCGTCCTATTATTATTCATATAACTCTCTCGTTTGCAAAACAATAGCTGTTTGATTTATTTATTTTATTTTGTTTTTTTTTATTTTATTTTATTTTTTTGAAGCTCTGTGTACGTTTAGAGATACATTTGTTTAACTATATGTGTTAGACGATTGCATTCCATTGTCCTTCATTATTGTGTAACAGCTGTTTGATGATGATATTGGTCACAAAAAAAAAAAGACGAATAGAAACAATTAAAATTAGTTTTCAAGTAAGAAAATTTATTTAAACTGAGCATGATTTGAACGTTATAGAAAAAATTTGATTCAATTCGATTTTATTATCATATGATATTTTCTAGAATGATATTATTTACTAAATGTAACCTAAATTGTAGTAACTCAATAAAAAAAAATATTGTTTGTCATTGAGAATCCGTATGTGTGCCATGTTCATATCAGATCAACATCGATGTCAACTTAATGGGGAAAAGTCTGCAAAAGTACGCATCGATACCAAAAAGTTGTCAATTTCTGAATTGTTGAGCATGCATACTAAAGCAATGTCATTAAAAAGAGTTTTTTTTTTTTTTTGTTGTAAAAGGAAACATCCATCATTTTGTTGTTGTTGAAACGAATAGGTTTTTATAGTATCAAATATTGTAATGTTTCTAAAATGGTAATTGTTTAGAGAAACAGGAAAAACTTGAAAGAAGTTGCAGTTATATGAGAAATACATTCATAATTTGGTTTCATATGTTAGAACTGCTCTACTTTTCCCATCATTTAATTGATTCATTCTCCATTTATAATAATTTGATTCATTTTTATTTTGTAGATGAGTCAATATGTTATTTGATCCAGAAAAAATAACAATAAAATGAATAGTATTGAACCATTATCATTAAAATCATTAGCTTTACCAGATAATTCAAGTGGAACATTAATAATATCATCAATAATTCGTAGTAATGTTGGTAGTAATAATTGTACTCTATCATTACAATATAAATTTATTGAACAAATCGTTTACTTATATATCATGTCACCATTATGTATAATTGGTTTACTATTAAATATTATTAATTTATGGATATTTAGTGATCGATCATTTAAAAATTTAACATTTAAATATTTAAGATTAATCGCATTTGTCGATTGTATTACTTGTATTCTTGTTTTTATTTATTGTATTACAAATTATACAAAACCATCATCATTAAAAGATAAATATTTTCGTACATGGTATCTTGTAAATGTTTATTTTCCTTTAGCTAATATTACCGCTGGATGTAATGTACTTTTAACAATAACCGTAACAATTGAACGTTTAGTAAGTGTTCGATGGCCAATGGAAAAACAAAAATTATTTTCATCTAATCGTGTTCTAATAACACTTATTATGGTTTTTCTATTTCCAATTGTTGCCAATTCTGTGAATTTTCTTGTCTATAAAATATCTAAATGTAATAATGCTGAACAAACACAAATAGCCGTAACATTAGCCTATAAATATTTTGGTATAATTAAAGAAATTTTACTTCGTTTTATACCTATTTGTATTTTAATATGTTCAAATTGTTTATTATTAATGACGGTAAGAAAAGCTCGTCAAAAAATTAGAAAACCAGCAAAAAAAATGAAAATTGTTTATGAACAACGATCAATGACAATTATGACACCTCTTTCCGCTTGTTATACTCAAATGGATAAAATTATCGATGGAAATGATGGTTCATGTTATACAACACCAGTTAATAAGTATTTATCAAATTCTCAATCACAAACTGACGATCTTATTAATCATCAAGAACATATTTATCCTCGTGAATCAGCAATGTCGATAACATCGTCAGTTAGTGTTAGCGGTACACATCGTGAATCAAAATTGACTTCGGCTACTTCGACACCACATCATACAAGAAAACAAAATCAAGAACGTCAATTAACTATTATGTTAATATGGTTATCGACATTGTATTTATGTGGTCAAATTCCAATGTTATTTGCCTATCCAAATTTTGTCTTTCGAAATATATCAGGTGCAGCTTATAAATATTATGCACTTGTTGTGAACTTAATGGAATTAGTAACATATTTAGCAAACTTTTTTATCTATATCACATTCACAACTCAATTTCAGTTAGTATTTTTGTCAAAAATGAAACAACGATTTTTATGCAAGATAGGATAGATATCCTCATATATATATATATATATAGATAGATAGATTTGTTTTTGTTGTTATCTTTCTGCTTTTATTTATTTATTTATTTATTTATGTCGGATAATAATAGTCCAAAATCTCTAGTAGATTCTATCGTTAAAAAAGAGTGTTGACAGAAATGTATTAGAAATTGAGGCTAAAGTAGAACATAGTATAATTTAATTCGAATATACATTGATAAATTTTTATCAAAAAGTAAATATAAACTCAAATTTAATTTAATGTTTAAAAATTCAAAACATGTTCGTGAAACTATATCTTATATTTTCACAAATTTATTATTAAACTATGTGTCTTTGTGTTGGATAAAAATATATTTGCCTTTTGTTTTTTAATGTCCTATTTTTGTAAACGTAAAATATTTGCCTCTTGTTTTGTAATGTCTCACTTTTTCTTTTGCAAACGTATTTCAGTTTATTTTTTCTTTCTATTATTTACTACTCTTGCCTCTAATCGATATTTTATGTACAAGAAAATGACGATAATGTCGATGACGATGATAAAGCTAAAAAACCACTGAAATAGCATCCATTCTATGTGTTGAATCGTAATCGGTGTGAAGCAAAATCCATGGTACATTGGATACCCAAACCTATGAGAAAGATGTCGTTAGTAGGTCTGCAGACACCTTGCGAACAAATTATTTTTATGCTCTGAAGCACGTTTTTTATCCGTTTAATTATAACATAAACAGGGGCGTTTACGGTGTTTTTTCACGTCAAGAGTAAGTTTTTTTTTATCATAGTCATCATCATCAATAATTTTTATTTTTCATAAAACAACATAAACAATATAATTTCACCAAATTTCTGTACTTAGTTAAAAACAAAAATAGTTTAATGAAAAAACTTAATTTGGTATACACACATACACACCGCGATTAAATGAGTATATCTATCTGACCATAATAAAACATTTGGAGTAGACTATAACATACAACAAAACAACTATTGTTTAGCCTTTATTGGATTCGAATGTTTTTACTCCTCCATTTTCATACTCTTCTTGAAACCATTTCCACATTTTAGCAAGACCATCTTTTATGTTAGTTTTTGGATTAAAATCTAAAAGTTTTTTTGCTTTTGTATTATCACAATAGGTAATAGACGGTTCACTTGGTGTCGATTTTTGGAAACGTTTTTGAATTGTTTTTCCCGATAGTGTTTCAATATGTTTAATAAACTCATTTAATTCAAGTGGTTGACCATAACCGATATTTAGTATTTCATAACCTAATGGACGAGCCAAACTAAAAATGAGAAAAGAGTCATGTAAGAAATACAATAAAAATGCGAAATTTTTTTTTAGTTTATTCTAACATACCTGCTAATTAATCCATCCACAACATCATCAATATATGTCCAATCTCTTTTCATTTTTCCGTGATCATAAACGTCTATGATATGCTGTTGTTCATAACATGCTTTCATCAATTTATAGGGCATCATATCCGGTCTTCCACGTGGTCCATAAACATTGAATAAACGTAATATAGAAATATTCAGACCATACAAATTGTAGTAAACATGTGCAAGAAGTTCAGCCGATCGTTTGGAAGCAGAATAGGCAGATAGTGGACGATCACACGCATCGGTTTCAATAAATGGTACATTGTCAGTTTGACCGTACACTGAGGATGTAGAAGCAAAGACAAATAATTCGACTTTATATTCAACTGCTAATTGTAATAAATTTTGTGTACCAACAAAATTGGCATCAATATATGTACGAGTTTGTTGCATCGAGGAGCGAACACCAGCCATAGCCTAAAATAAAATTTTTCAAGTTTCTTTTCAACTGATTTAACATTAAACAATAACTTACAGCTAAATGTGCGATATGTGTGATAGAATATTTTTGAAATATTTGTTTTAATAGTTCTGTATCACCGATACTTCCATTGATTGTTATAAAATCATTCTCATAAACTTTTTGCGCATAACGATGTTTCAATAAAGAAATATTTCGATGTTTTGTTGCTGGTGAATAATAATCATTAAAATTATCGATAATAATTACTTTACCCAAACTACGTTCTAACAATTTATCAACTAAATGACTACCAATAAAACCGGCACCTAAAACCAATAAAAATATAATCATTTATTTCGAACTAAAATTAAATATACACAAAACTAATCTCAGTCGAGAGTAACAGGCATTCAACTATATCAGAATGTGAATTCCCTTTAAGATTGTTATTCTTCAATCTATCTGACTATAAAAGTCAAAAAACATTCATATACCTCCAGTAACTAAATATACATTTGTTCTCATTGTTTATTTTAAATTTTATTTGTTTTCGTTTTTGTTTGAATATTAGAAGTGTACGTGTATTTTTAGAATGTATAAAAAAAGTTTGTGTCTTTTATTAAGTGCAACGTATTTATATAACTACATGTACATGATAATGGTATAATGACAGTAACCTTCGTAAACATGCGTTGGATGTAAGGGATCTTCTCTTGTTATTTATGAGTCAGAAACATAAAAACGAAATTGAATAATAATAATAATTTATCATAATAATAATCATCATAATATAAAAAGACAAGGAATACTGCTACTATTATTTATTTTATGCGAAATAGTTGACGTGGAAGAGAAGAAAGAATGTTTTCTGTTAAATTAAACTGTCTTTTCTTCATTCTTCGTCGTTCGTGTGGGCTGTTTTAGAACTATAGCTATAACGTTGAAGAAGAAAAAGAAAAAAAGAAAAAGAAAGAAAAAATACCTCGACACTTTTAATAGACCATTCATTCATTCGACAACAAACCCTATCCGTTCATTTCCTCGAATGTTCACGATACATATTTTTACATTGAAGGAAGAATGCTATGCGTAGTCGTTTAGTTGAAAAAATACAATAAAAATCAGATCAGTAGAGAGATCTACTATAACTATGACTAATGTTTATTGTATTATTTATTCACCGTTTGTTCAAAAACCTAATAATAAATCCTTAATTGTAAAAATCTTTCTCTCATTCTTTGTTCTTATACAAGAAGTGACAGTTTGCAGTTTTTTTTAAAAAGTACCGACATTGACCTGGTCGATTTACAGAGGCTGAAAAAATAAGAAGTACTTTTCTTTGTGCCAAAAGTGCGTTTTACGTACAATATTCAAACGTTTTTGTATAACAAACTTTCGGATACAGAGTAAGTTGGAGTAATTCTGAACAGACGTTTTTATTTTCATAGTATCTTGAAGCATTTTTGCTTGGGAAAAGACGATACTTCACACCCAGGTCGAAGCTCTACGGCCGTAAACTATAGTATACGTCGAAATACGACGAAATACATATCCATTCCAGATAAAATACGAGTTCGTAATCCTTCTCCACGATAGACGTCATCGTATTTCGTCGTAAACAGCTCGTATTTTGACGTATACTACAGTGTCCATCATCATAAACTGTAGAATACTGCCATTTATCGCTGTAGTAATCATTGTCCTGGGTTGATGGATAGACTTGACATTTGGGTAATTCCATGGAGTCACTACCAGTTTATACGAGACTTTTGTCGCATAAGCTGGCATCCTATTTAAATGAAAGACCCATTTATAGTATTAACAAATACCGACCAAAAAAGGGTCCACAATATCGCCATCGAAGATAACTCAACATCGGCATGTGAAATTTTTTTGGGTTTAGGAGCGGCTGGGTTCAGAAAATTTTCTTGTATAAAAAATAAATTGGAAGAAATTTTTTCGTAGATTATATGGCAAAAAGATTGAAATTGCTCGTGATATGATTGTAAAAGCTCCGGGAAATCGCAGTTTTTCAGACTCATTGGTCAAAAGTAATTATTGAGAAGTTTAAAAGAGCATGTGAAATAGATACAGAAAATATATAGCGATAGTCTTAGGAATTCGAAATTTTTGAAAAAATTGAGGTTAAAATACACAAAAATTCGAAAATCCCCACTGGTATTCGAATTTTTCTACTTTCGTGTACTGCAGTATCTTACTTGAAGTTTTGTTTTATTTTCAAGGAGATATTCCATTTGCAGAAACAGCTAAAAATGACTTGGAAAATTCTGTGGAACGCACCAAAACAATTCGAAATTTTTTTTTGACTATCTGATAATATAGCCCTATCTTTATACTCTCTATATCACATGCTTTCAACGGTTAACTCTTACTCTTTTTTTAGAAAACTAAGCACACTTGGGCCTCTAAACGCAAAAAATCAAAAACGTCGACATAGGGGCTCCTGCGATGCCCGTGTTTCCAAATAATTTTCATTGTAATAGTTCTTAATCCTACCCATGAATCTTCCATTTCGATAGGATATTAGCTTATGCGATAAAAGTCGATGTAAATGTGGGAGTGATTCCACAGAATTATTTATTTCTCTATCTAGTGATGTAAAAATCTTGTTAAAAAGTTTAGTATGATTAATTAGTACTAATCAATTTCATCCATTCTCTTATCAAATATTTCCATAATTGGAGGAATTATAAATAGTCCAGAAAAAATGGCTGAGGGAAAGCAAAACAACTTTTTTTCAACCTTCAGACATATCCTTGATTAATTAATTAGAAATTACGAAAAAAGAAAGAAAGAAATGAAAACCTTAATTGGCATTGAACTGACGAAAATTTTCAACTTTTCATAAAGACTGTACAATTCTCGTTAGGCTATATCAAATATTTTTTTGAAAATCACCCATCTGATGTCAACTATTCAACAGTGAATAGTTTATAAGTATAAAATTTTGTTTGTTACTATTTGTGTTTCCTCTAAGCTGTTGTTTCAACGAGAACTTGTCTCTACTCAACTGCGATTCAGGGAAAAAATGAAGCATCCCGACTACTCTTGATGAGTGAATTTTTCTATTGTCTAAAACAAAAGGAGGTCTGGATTAAAACGGTACGAAAATGAGTAGAGCAACGAAAAAATTGTAGTAGTATGATAGGTGTTGCGACAGTCGTAAAAATGGAAGCAAAAATATAACAATTTTTTAATAGCTTGAAACTAGATAAATTCAATTCACAAATAGTAATACTATTCTCTCTGGAAATTGATGAGCACTAACTGATCTTACTGAACTTTAACAAGAATTTTACATCATCAGATAGAGAAATGTCAAATCTATCCAGGGGCGTACCTACTGGGGAGTTGTGGGGTGGTTCCCCCCCTCCCTGTTTTCAGAAAAGTTTCTATTTTGTATCTTTCGCTCTTCAAAAAACCATCTTTTTTTGAAAGAACGAAAAACTTTTTTTGGCATGATTACCCCTCCCCCCCCCCGTTATGAGATGCTAGGTACACCCTGAGTCTATCCATCTGTGAAATATCATCTTCCCCCGATTGCTTCAGGTGTGTAACAATTATCTGTGAATCTTTCTTCGATGTAAGTTACTCATAAACTGCCTAGATAAGTAATTTACAGGTAACTCAAACTACGTATAAGTAAAATGACTTGCGGAAAACCATCAGGGGACTGATTTCATTGTTTGTACCAAGCCCTTTTTCAAGTACTTGGCTTCAAGTACATTCACTAGGCTAAATAAACAGAGCATATAACGAAGAAGGGAAAAGGTGTGCTTTTGGAGTATTACAATCAATTTTAATATTTCATGTCAGTTTGAGTTATTCGCTGTTTTAAAAATGAGATAATTCATCTAAATAAATAAAGTGGAATGTATAATATCCAAAATTTCTGCATCCATCCACGATTTTATAAGAATTGAATAGTGGCCTTGATGTCAAAAAGTATTCCTACATGTCTGTTGATAATCAGATGTTTGAAAAGTTGTTTATTGTTGATTGTCAAGGTCAAAATCTATATTACTATTTGAGTAGCCACTTCTTCTCTTCAACTAATGATTATAAATAACCCATGATTATATTCTCTAATAACTTGTCAACAACTTAACAAACTAATTTATCTGTAATTGGTGACATCTTATCTGAAGATATTCCTAATACAAAAATACGTACAATGAAACTGACATTTTATCCCGTTCTGATTTGCAAAATTTTATTTTAACAATGTATATTTTTCATTCTGTTTAAAAATAGAAACGGAAAAAAACCGTAATTTTTATTATATGTTGTTCAAAAATATCTTCATGATTAATTTCTGTTCTGAAATTTTAAAAACTCTTTCTGTTATCTAAAGGAATATAATCAGTCTATATGCTAAAAAAAATATTAAAAAGATATTTCGATGATATTCAAAACAAAACATCCGTCCATTTTTTGAAGAGCTGCAACCGTGGACGATGTATTTTTTCAAATATTTAATTTTTTGTTTTAACTGTTTTACTGTTGCCGGATTCGGTCAGTCAATGTATGTTTTCTTATTAGGTTGAGGAAAAAGTTCGTGCGCCGTGTTAAAATAATGATTTTTTATATATTTTTTTTTGTGTTTTTGATCTGGTTTTGTGGCTATTATGAAAATTTATTGATTTTTTAAGATGTCTGATTA